CTCTGAACCTTAATGACCAAATTGTATTATACTAACAACTATCGTACATATGCTTATGAAAATTTTGCGTTTGTATGAGTTTGTGTGAATTTGTTATTTTTAAACAATAACTTTAAAAAAAAAAAGCATAATATGACAGGGAAAAGTTGGCAGTGGTTAGTAATGACATTATAAATACAGGACCCATCCATGGGAGGGGAGAGGGTACAATTTGCCTGAGCCTGGAGGCTGAGGGACATCCAATACAGGCCACAATTGTATTACAATGGTGTGATAAATCTAAACTGAAAGGATATTAAAGATATTTGTGGTAATATCTATTTCTATATTTTTGGTAACAGGTATCTATGTACCTGTTCTTCAAATCCTGTAAGATTTGCTGGAGGAAATTAGAACCAATGTTAGAACAAAGCAAGATATTTTCTTAACAGCAAGTTACTGGCCCTTTGCTAGAACACAGGATACACTTCTGCAATTAAACAAGAAGTTTTAGAGGAAGGGAAATTTGTGCTTCCCTATGTGATGTGCTTTCTCAAGAACTCCCGCATCAACAGGAAGGATTAAAAGCTGACAGGAAGAACAAAGCACCATCATAATCAGGGACAGTGATTCTAGGATGTTGGATGCCAGTTCCACTGCAGAATTTAAAGGGCAAAATGTGTTGTGAAGGTAAAATATAATGTAAAAGTGAAAGGATATTTAGGATTTTAATCAGCTTTAGTGTTTTGTTTGAGCACTTAGCTTTCAATACAATCAGATATGAGAGCTAGCATGTTTTAAGTGTTGGACTATGAATCTGGGGACCAAAGAGTTTATCACACGGCTTTTTCTCTCGAGCTGGGCATAGGCTGAAACTGTTTAAAAATGGATTTTATCTCACACCCCCATGCCAGGTCAGAGGCATCCTGTACCTGATCTGGATTTTTCCCATTTCCTGCAGAAGTTCAGATCAGGTACGGGATGCCTCCAACCTGGGCATGGAGGCATGGGTTAAAATCAGTTTTTAAATGGTTTCACTAGTGTCCAGCTTGGGATAAACTCCATAGGCTGCATCTGCACAGCAGAAGTAATCCAGTTTGTTGTGGCACTAGCTTTGTTCTGGTGGCATAACAAACTACCATTCCCAGAATTCGATACCATTCAGCTGTGGCAGTTAAAGTAGTGTCAATCTGGATTACTTCTGTAGTGCGGATGCAGCCCAGGGTTCCAATCCATGCTCTGCCACAGAAACCCATTGGGTGACCTTGGACAAGTCATGCTCTTTCATCCTCAGAGGAAGGCAAAGGAACCCTCTCTGAACAAATCTTGCCAAGAAAGCCATATGATTGGTTTGCCATATATTGGAAACTACTTGAAGGCACACAACAAAAACAATATCCAGACACATACAGTTTTCATTTAACAGCTTTGTTTGTGCCTTTGCTGGCAGACACAAGAAGTGGTTGATATGCAGCCATTTATCAGAAGAAGCCTGCTAAAATGACAAACAAGTTACTCAACTGTCTTTTGTGAGACAGTTGTTCAAGAAATGGAATATGTACTGTGCTCCAGATGCAGTTTGCCTATATATATATTTGTTATTGGTGTTCTGTGCCTTCACGCCCTTTCCAATGCATGACAGGTATATGTTATAACAAGGTATGTTATAACACACACACATTCTCTCTTTCTCTCTTTCTCTCTCTCTTACACAAGCACACATCAAAACTCAGACACACACATATGGAAATACATGGTTTTATCTATGGATGACTGTTTGAGATGTATGGAATTCCTCAGCAGGAATCTTTACTGTTCTGCAAGAGGTTAATTTTCTTTCCAAGATAAAGTCTATATATGATGTAAACCTAGATTCCAAAATACCAGTGTATAAGAATGAGCCTAGATCAAGATGTCTATGTTTTTCTGCAAGGGGGTATAAACACACAAAGGTTTTATAATGCAAATAAACTGCCTAAAAGATTATAAAGCCACATGTTTGTTTCTCCATGTCAAATATTCTGAAATTCCAATACTTCAGAATAATTAAGGGGACTCTTAATATGTCTGTCTGTTAGGACAATATTGTTGTCCACCAATTTGGAAGCCTAAAGAGATTATTGCATGCCTTTTTTTACCTGGGTTGGGAAAGGGATTAAATGGGTGAAAACGGATTTTATCACACACCTCCGTACCCAACTCAGCTGCATCACATACCCTATCCAGACTCCTGGCAGACTTCTGGCGGACTTTTTGAAGAACAATAACTTTCCTGTTCACCAGAAAAGTCCACCAGAAATCTGGATCGGGTTCACAATGCGGCTGAGTTGGGCATGGAGACATGCAATAAGATTCATTTTCATCCGTTTAAGCCTGTGCCCGGATCAGGTGAAAAAAGGCATGCAACAATCTCCTAGGTGATCAAGGCTGCATCTGCACTGCAGAAATAATCCAGTTTAACTTCAACTGCCATTTCTCAATGCTGTGAGATTCTGGGAATTGCAATTTGTTGGGGCACAAGAGCTCTCTGATAGAGAAGGCTAAATGTCTCACAAAACTACAGTTTCCAGAATTCCATAGCATTGAGCCATGGCAGTTATAAAGTGGTGTTAAACTGGATTATTTCTGCAGTTCTGATGCAGCCAAGGTCAGTGAAGTCTAGGGAACTCTGACAGATATGGACTGACAAATGGCAATGGACCTACAAATCCCTCAAATAAAGAGATGGACCATCTAGATCCATCTTAATCTGTCTTTAGATGTGGTTATGGGACAGAAATAAAACTGGATGATATAGTCTGGAAGGGAATTGCTGTCTGAGCAAAAGTGGGGGCATCTCCCTATTAAACTTGAGTGAAATATAAATGGAAAGTATAAGACACATAAATGGAAGTATAAGACAGAACTGGAGCCAGAGCCAGGGATAGGAGGGAGAAAATGACAGAACCTCCTTCTTCTACACTGAACGAGATGAGGTTTACAACTTCCTTTTTTGGTCTGCTATGTAAAGAAATACAAATCCTTACAGAAGGCTTATAATATGTGATGAGAATGTTTGGTTCCCATCTAGCTGAGCATTTTAATAATTGCATCTTATTAAATATACAGTTCTGTAGTCCTTTCAAGAAATGGAATTAAAATAAACTGAGCAGCCAATAAATTACAAGTTTAGCGTTCATGTATATGTATGCGTACATTCAAAGGAAGTAGAGACTTGATGTTTGTAGTTATCAAATCTTATGTCACAAAACTTTATCACATGGGGACGGGTGTCTTTATCCCATCCAGAAAGCACGATTGAATGTGATCATGAGAAAGGCTTTCTCACTACATTGCGCTGATCCAATGAAGTGAAATTGTATTACTGGGATCTTCCAATAATACAAAATTAGGGGAAATGAGGGGACAATTCCACTTCAATCATGGGACATTCATGGCATCAGTGGGATTTAATGAGGAAGCCTTTCATGTGATCACATTCAAGCTCACTTTCTGGATGGGACAATGTCCCGATAAGCACAATTTTGTGTGAAAGTCTTTCCTGCGATCGTGCAATAAGCATGGGATAAGCATGGGACAGGGACGAGACAATGCTGCCCCATCTCCCGTGTGATAATGTTCATATACAATACAGGAAGCTTTGTATATTTTCAAAATAAGAACTTCACAGAAAAAAATGTTTGTCTATACAGCTAAACTGGTTTTAAAAACACAGTTGTTTCTGTACATATTTGGAACTGATATATTTAATATTGCTTCTTTAATTACAAATGTTGTTAAACTTCTACCACTTGCAAAGGGTTTATTTCACCGAACTGGCAAAGGCTGACTTTCAGTACCCTCATCCCATTTCTATTACAGAATTGCTTCCACCCATGGAATGACACCATTGTATCCAGGCCCACAATTCCTACCAGTTACCTGGAATTAAGGATCCAATATAGCAATAGCAAGTATATTTCTATACCACTAGCACTCCCTAAGCTGTTTAAGCAGATCCACTCTTCATTTTACAAAAATAGGAGAAGGGGGAACAGTTGGCCCTCTGTATCCAACAAAGTTGTATATGATCAATATTAAATTATATTAGGAAAAGTTGCATATCAGTTGTATATTTCGAAGTCAGAGAGGGATGATGATGATATTTATTTCTATCCCACCTTTTTCTCAGATCAGAACTCAAAGCACCTTAGAGCCATTAAAAATATATTGTTAAAAATCCACAAGACACTGTTAAGATTAAAGAAGCAAAAAAATTAAAACCATATTAAAACATATCATTAAACATCACACACTCACATGCATACACACATATACACACAGACCAGCACAACAATTAGCAATATCCAGCACATTGTGTAAGACAGACTGTACATAGTAACTCATCAAATGCCTGCCATAATAGAAAAGTCTTTATTTGTCTGCAAAAAGAAAGTTGGAAGGGTAACTGTATAACTTCTTTGGGAAGGGAGTTCCACAGCCTGAGGGCAGCCACTGAGAAGACCTCTCTTGTGTTCCTACCAGATGTATCTGTAAAGATGGTAGGACAAAGAGAAAGGCCTCCCCAGAGATCAAAACATAAATATATGATCTTATTTTCTTATTTCATAGTTTTATGGTGAAGAAGCATGGTTGTGAAACATGATTGCATAGCATAAGAACACACCATTCCCAGTAATATGTTAATTAGTGATTAGCTTATCACTTTAGAGCAGAGATAAAATATATTTGCCCTACAGTAGTCCTAATTGGTTATGCATAGGATGACCATGCTCATTTTATGCCTACCAAGACTTCCCACTGTGCATTGCATTCTTTCTTAATAACATCTGATAGCAGCAGATTATAACCAAAAGAAATTCCAACAAGATAATTAATTTATAGTGGGTAAACATTCACTACAAGAGAGTCAGTAATGGTCATTTATGATCAAGATGAGTCACCTAATTAGTTAATTGAAACAAGTCCTTTCTCCCAGTCTCTTGCTTTAGGCTTGTAACAGTGCTGAAAAGGGGAAAAGAGCCAGTGTGGTGTAGTGGTTTGAGTGTTGGACTATGACTCTGGAGACCAGGGTTCTAGTCCCAGCTCGGCCATGAAACCACCAGGGGACCTTGGACGTCACACTCTTTCAACCTCAGGGGAAGGCAATAGCAAACCTCTGAACAAATCTTACCAAGAAAACTCCAGGGTAGGTTTGCATTAGGGTTGCCATAAATCAGATACAACTTGAAGGCATGCAACACACACATAGATTAATACCAATTAACCCACACAGAATCCAGATTCAGCAACAGAGTGCATTCTTAATAGGGTTGCCAACTGGCTATAAAAAAAAACCCACCCAGCCAAGTTGTTATGCTTTGGGGCAAGTTGTCAGAAAAGAAAGGAGGCAATGCTGTATTTTATGTCTGGTCTGAGAAAGTCTGTTTTTCATATGTGAAAAGTTTTAATTTATAGAATGCCTTTATCTTTGCTTGTACAAATGTGACTAAGTTTTCTGTATTATACAATTATATTATACAAAATTTGCATTTAATTTCATTGTTCCTTTATTATTTATTTAATTCACTTATATCCCGCTTTCCCCCTAGAACTGGGATTGAAGGCAGCTTTCAACATAATTTAAAAAGACAGGTACCAATAACAAACTGATAAGATATAAATATTAAAATATTATCAAACTAATTATAATAAGACAAAAATCACACAAAAATGATTGTAAAACACCTCAGTGACAATAAATAATAAAAAAGTAAAACATGCAGCACATCCTACCACCTTTGTCTGTAGCACACAGCCAATTGTCAAAGGGCTACTGAGTAGAAATCTATTTGCCTCTTAGTGGAAGGATGGCAGGGAAGGGGTCAAACTAATCTCCCTCACTTCTGAGTTCCACAGTCATGCAACAGATACCAAGAAAGTTTTGTTTTGCATCCTCACCTAATAAGCCTTTCAAGGTGACATGACTGAAAGAAAAAAATTCTCTCTCACATTTCAAATCCTAGTCCATTTTATGTGGCAGATTATAGCCTCTCAGATAGCTGGGTAACAAGTCTCATAGAGTTTTGTAGGTTATAACTAACACAGCTTTTTAGTTTTGTAAGGAAATGGATTGGTGGCCAGTGGAACTGTTGTAAACAAGGGAGAAATCAGCCACAGTCAACACTCTGACCATAACATTTGGACTAATTCAAGTTTCCAAACATTCTTCAAAGGCTTCCCCACACAGATCATGTTATAATAATCCAAACAAGATGCAACCTAGAGACATGTGTGAATGTAGCCAGTTCAGTGCTCTCCAGAAATGAATGCAACTGGTGTCAGTGGTGTTCCCACACAGGGTGACACGCAGTGCAGGGGTGGGACTTCCGGCAGGGCGGGACTTCCGGTCCTGGACTTCTGGCGGGGTTTCCGGTGGGTGTATGGGAGCACCCGCGAGGGCCAGAGAGGCACCTCACAGCCTCCGCAGAGCCCTGAAAGGCACTAGCATGGCCCAAAAAGCCCCAGCATGGGGCGGAGCAGCCCTTCGCCAGGCCTAAAAGCCTCTGTGCAGGGTGGAGGGGCCCCCATCTGGGCCCCAAAAGCCCCCATCTGGGCCCAAAAGCATCTGCACACCTCTGCATGGGGTGGAGGAGCCCCCCAGCCCCAAAAAGCCCCTGTCTGGGCTCAAAAGCTTCTGTGTAGGGCCAAGGAGTCCCCAGCCAGGCCAAAACAACACATGGAGGAGGAGGTATGGGGAGCCAATATGTTGTCATCCCCCTTTCTTGGGTGTCATCCCCCTTCTGGGGTGTAACTCAGTGCAGCCCACAACCCACCCACCTGTGACGCTACTGACTGGTGCATTAGTTTAAACTGAGAATCCAGATTCAAGACTAGATCTAGCCTGTGTCTTTGAGGGATTGTAACCACAGCAAAGGTTGAATTCCTATAGCAATTCTGCTGATCAGGGGTGCTACTATTTTGTCTGAGTTAAGCTTTAACTTGAAAGAGCTTGATCTGAATGGATTGTGACAAAAATCTATTGTCAGGGTTGAGATATGGGGAAAAGGATGAAGAAGGAAACAAACAGTTTTGCATACATGGTCTGTTCTTTGGCCTGAATGGGGCAGTGGAAGTGGAAGTCTGGAAATCTGGCCAACATGTGGAGATGGACATGCAAAGGGGTCTACTGTCACAATCACAAATCCCTTTCCCAACTTCATACATGGAGTAAACAACTTGATAGTTTTGCCATAGCTTGTGTTTTGTGTGTATGTACATGCACTTGTGCATACACACAACCCCTCACCCTGTAATTTCAACATGAATCCACTTTTAGACCACAAGGTCTTCCTAGATTTCAGAGAGCAAAATATTGAATGGCAGTGGTTATAACATGATGTCTAATCTTCATTATCATCTTTCTGTCACCTCTTAATTGTGTTCATCTGTTTTCTATACAGATCCCTCACCAGAGTCCTTTCCTAGCATACTGATAATAGAAATAAATCATTTCTCTTTTTTACCAGATTAAAATTAATGAATGTTGTACAAGGGATAAGCCAGCTCAAGAAAGAAGGTTCTGTATGAATCTCACAATTAGCTCAAAATGTTTACACCTTCTTTTCCAGGTGTCCAAGGGGCACCTGAGAGTTGCCCCAGACTCATTGTCCCACATTATCACATGTGTACATGTTATTCACCTGCTATATTGAAAGCATTTGAAGGATTTTTGAAAACTCGTTAAGATAGTCATGCATTCCTAACATTTTTAATTTTAAAAGCTATTAGTACTTTTCTCTTATTTTGTAGTATATTCTCAAGATGTTGCTTTTATGCATGAGGGATGATATCTAAACTGACAGTTTCAACTATGTGAATTATGAAGTACACATATTCTACTAAATTCTGGAAGGTGTCTTTATTTATTTCTTTATTTTAAAAAGTAACAGTCTTGCATTTTATAATACAGCCAGGTTTGGAATGGCATCCCATGGAAAACATATTGTCAAGCAACCTACATCCAGCATTGCAGGAGACAGGAGGGGAGAGTTTATCCAAGATTTAGCACAGGCTTTACAAAGTCACTGCATTCAAGAACGACCTGATGGCTGGAAAGTGGCCAACCTAATGTCATTATTTAAGATAGGATCTGGGAACACTTCAGGAAATTACAGACCATTTAGTTTTGATTCCTTTGTAGCAGGGGGGAGAGGTCTTAAAAAGCATTTTGGGAGATTAAATGGAGACATTTAGAAAGGCACAGCTTGATTAAGGATAGCCAATGTAGTCTCAGGAATGAAGGGTCATGCTTCACTAACTTCTGGATTTCTTTAAGGATAAGAATAACAAGGGAAATGAAGTAGATGCCATAGACTAAAAAAACACAACTTTTCAGGGACCATTAAAGAGGCTTACCATATATGTGCTCTTAAAGACTACCTACATTGCACAGAGAAACAAAGGGTATTGTATTCAAAAGGAATAATTTGGTACAAAAATATGTTCATATGTTTTAAAACAGGAGAATAAGATAATAATACCAGGAATCAGTATTTACTTTAAAAAGCATTCACTGATTTGTTAAATTAACTGTAAGTAAAGAATAACATTTTATAATAAATCCTTACTGTATTCAGCTTTTCAGAGATTTTAATCCAAGCTGTAATACAAAATACTACTAATAGACATCTTTAAAAACTGTGCCAGAAGGAAACATATTAAAATAATTCTATGAAAGTTCATGCAGTCAGACTCAGAACATTGAAAAAATGTCTTTACTAATATAAAAACACATTTAAAATAGCACCATTACATTCATACTGTCATTTTAAGGTTATTATCCCATTCACACATACCGCATACTATTGAATACACTAGGTTTTACTAAATATACATGGGATTCCATTGTAGAGAGATCTTGTAGCACCTTTGAGACAAAGTGAAAGAAGTTGGCAGCATGAACTTTCATAGACTAAAATTTACTTCTTCAGATACATTTGATGGAGTGGAATGGGATTCCATTGTAAGATATAGGAACAGAAAACATATAACAAGGATGAGTGAAGAGCAGCCCTGGATCATGTGGGCATCCAAGACAAGGGTTTTTGTTTTATTTTGTTTTTAAGCAGTTCTCATCCTCTCCAGACTCCCTGAGTTGCTTTTTGTGTGTGCGTGTGTGTGTGGTGAGAGAGAGAGCGAGAGTGAGTGAATTATCTCTCTGTAACCACCAATGCCAGCTAGATTAAACTTGCTTCCTTGAGGTCTTAAACTGGGAATTAAACCTGGATTTTCAGGCCAAACCTGACAACAGGCAACTTGGGAAATTAGATCTCTGTGCAAGCCTTGAACCTCCATTGCTCCAGAATAAAAGACAGTGATTGCACATACATACATACCTTTTTGCATAGAAGATGGAAGGACATGCTGAGAACAAACCCTGGATCAAAGCTATCCTGTACATTCCAGCTGTCCCTGACTCTGCAGGAATAATTGATTAATACTTCATTGTCCCACTTTTCAGCTGCTTTAAAAATGTCCCAGTTTCATAGAATCACAGAATTGTAGAGTTGGAAGAGACCACAAGGGTCATCCAGTCCAACCCCCTGCCGTGCAGGAATACACAACCAAAGCACTCCCAGCAGATGGCTGTCCAGCCTCTCCTTAAAAACCAAAAAATGAGACTCCACTACACTCCAAGGCAGTGTGTTCCACTGTAGAATAGCTCTTACTGTCTGGAAGGTCTGGAGGAATTTCTTTTCCTTTAGCTTAAATCCATTGCTCCAGGTCCTAGTCTCTGAAGCAGCAGAAAATAAGCTTGCTCCTTCATCATGATTCTTGCCGCTTTCCCACTATTTTGTTTGTTTTATTCATCTGATCTTGTTTATTTTATGTTTTTAACTACTGTTGTTTAATCTAATATGTTTTAATCCTATGTCTGATTTAATACTCTTTTAAGGGGAGGGGGTATTGGGATGTATTATATAATTTGTAATTTTAACTTTTGTTAGCCGCCTCGATTGCGCTCAGAGAGGCGGGGTAAAAATGAAATTATTATTATTATTATTATTATTATTATTATTATTATTATTATATGACATCCCTTCAAATATTT